CATCCTCGCCCTCGGTCTCCCACTCGGGCTCCTTGACTGCTGGCGCAGCCTTTGCGTCGGCCTTCTTGTCCTTCTTCGACTTCTTTGTCTTGCCATTGACCTTCACCTCTACCTCATCCAACGGCACAGGCACGCCGCCCTCCTCGGTATCCTTCTCGCCCTCCTCCGCAGCCTTCCTGGCCTCGCGCTTTTCCTTGCGCTTCAGCGCCTGCTTGACGTACTTCTTCTGCTTCTCGCGCTTGATGTCGCGGCCCTGGTAGTTGTCGAGCGCCGACTTGAGCACGCCTTTCTTCGCCATGTCGACTGAGGTTTATGGAGTTCTGAAGCGTGTGGAGTATCGAACGTCGCAAAAGTCAAGACGTCAAAGCTTCCCAGAAAATAATTCGTGAACTTCGAAGTCTGGGCGCAGAAACATTTTAGCGCGCACGCTAGCTTGACCGCCTACGAAACGGGCAGGAAGCCGCGGCGAAGACCACGTGCTCCGCGACCCTACATATCCATCGTATGCGCATCTCTCCTGTTGTATAATAGCAGACCGCTTGACAATCGCCTTGTGAGGTGCTAAAATTGTTCCAAATCCGCAGACTACTCGCATCGTTCTCTACTTCATCACAAACACATTCAGTCATGGCAACACCACAGCCACTAGCAGACCGCGCGCAAAGCGACACTGCGGTACGTGCTTGTTACACTCACGATGCCCCGCTCTACCTAACATGCGCATAGTCCGCCGTCTCAAAGGATGCTGAGAGTTCTGGAGAGCTCACAGCGGTTGTCGACGATCTCCTGAATCAACTCAACACCAAGTTCACCACAGTCAGCAGCGAGCTGCTTGCCAAAAGTAAGTACAAGCATGTCTAAAGCAGATACACTAGATGCTGACGATGCGTAGTGGATGACATGTCACGGCGGCTGGATAACCTCGAAGCAACTATCCAAGCCGGAGATGGTACCAAGGGCTCAGGGTCTGGCAAGTAGATTTACAGGGAAAGCATCATGTTTGGTCAAAAGCAGGCGGTGTGCATCGCGCATGTCTCAGTCATTGGCGTTTGGTGTTAAATTACATAGATTGTATGCAATCTGGGTATTGACTTTTGGTTCTCTGCTACTTATTCCTCTTTCTCATTGTCATGATCACGTATGCCTGTCGCTCCTGCGCCAGGCCACTTTGCGCCCCCAGCTCATCTTATCATCTTAATAGTGTTGGTGGTATGCCTCATTGCGGAATCCTACTTCACGCACGGGTCGTCTACAACTCAGACTTCTCCTCCTCAGCATCACCCATGAACTTCCTCAGAATGTTGCTCCTGCTCATCAAGTCATCCATCTTCTCGGGTGCCAGGTTGCCCTTGGCAATGAGTCCCTGCAGACGCTTGAGCTCCTTCGCAGCGTACTCCTGGTTGGCACCGATCTTGTTGAAGACCTTGACGTAGTATTCGGCGTACTTGTCTTGCAGAGTACCGGCGAGGGTCTTGGCCTCCTCAGCACCGCCGGCCCATGAGCCTTGGAACTTCTCAATGAGGGTGTTGAAGGCCTCAATGGTGCCACCAGTGGCGTCAAGACCACCACCTACAGCACGGTGGGTACCGGCGTTGGCGTTGATGAAGTCGACGAAGTCCTTCTCGGCGCGGGCGCCGTTGTAGGGGAGAGGCTCGGTGGAGCCCTTGGGGAAGTATTTGATGGTCGGGTAGGATGATACGCCTTGCTCCTGTGCGAGGGCCTTGGAGTTCTCAGCTTCAGCGTCGACCTTGGCGATCAAGACACCGGGTTCGGTAACGAAGTCGTTGGCGAGGGTCTCCCAGACGGGAGCGAGAGTCTTGCAGTCTGCGCAGATGTTAGCTATGAAATCATTATAGAGAGGCTAGGAAGACATACGTCCACACCATGGAGCAGTGAAGGCGACAAGCACATCCTGGTCCTTTCCAACCTTCTCCTTAAAGGTCTTGTCGTCCAAGTAGACGACCTGGCTAGGCAGCTTGCCCTTGACCTTAGGCTTGACCGAGCTCTTCTCTGTGATGAACTTGCTCAAGCTCTCGAGGTCACGTCCGCCGCTGTAATCCGTAGGCTTGTCGCTCTTTCCGTCGAACCACTTGAGGGTAGGGAAGCCTGAGACACCGAAACGCTTGCCGAGCGCCTTGTGAGCATCAGCATCGACCTTTGCGACGCTGACCTTGTCTCCAGCGTGCTGGAAGACGCCAGCCAGCTCATCGTAGACGGGGGCGAGGTTCTTGCAGTGGCCGCACCAGGGAGCGAAGAACTCTACGAGGGCGGGCTTGCCGGACTTAAGAACGACATCGTCGAAGTTGGAGGGTGTGAGGTCGATGACGGCCGATGCCGAGGCAATTGCGGGCAGCAGCGCAATGGCTGCGGGTATTAAATTGCGGAAAAGCATCTTGGAAGTGTATGAAGCTCAAGGATGAGTTGAAGCTCCAAATGTGTGTTGAAGAGCGGTGGGAAATCTGGTGGGGAGCTAGAGCAGCACAGCGGCTATCAGGGTCCCGCGGTGGCGATCGCTAGTCTGAAAGGTGTCCTTACGCGTCTCAACTTTACAAATCCAACACCAACGCGACGTGATGACGTACACTGGATAGTGATCACGTATACTAATCACGATCTTAATAGTATGCACAGCTGTTGATAAATATTGTTTACTATGATATGCATTCGATTCCTGGGTATCACAAAGACATCGCCCTCCAGACCTGCATGTGGCTATCACCTCCCAAACCTTCCATATCTAATGCAACGACATCTTCCAGTTGTTCCCTCCAGTCATCCCATAGCTACCACTAACCGTCTTCTCGTCTTCAACCTTCTTTTCTTCGTTGACCTCTGGTTTGACCTCAGGCTTCTTCGCCTCAACCTTCTCCTCCTTAACCCTCTCCAGCTCACCAGCAACCTTCTCCACAGCAGCCTTCAGCGCCCTCACGTCCGCGCCCCTGATCTCCTCGATTTTCTTCCCATCCTTGAAGACCATGAACGTCGGCATAGCTGTGACACCATATTGCCCCGCGATCTCTCTCTGCTCATCCACATTGACTTTGACGAATGCGAATCTCCCTGGTGAGGCGTGCGTGGTGGAGAGTTGGTTGTAGATGGGCGCGATTTGCTTGCAAGGTGGACACCATGTTGCGTAGAAGTCAGCGATGAGATATGTGTGGCCATTTAGAAGGGTGCGGAAGTGTAGGGGTGCTGAGATCTCTGTTGGCATGATTGATATTGGGGTGCCTGTCAAGGCGGCGTGCTGAGGTTGTGTGTCGAGTGATTTGAGTGTTGTGTCTTGCCGAAGGGCTGTTGAAAGGCGACTGTAGCGTATTGAAGCTGCCGTAAGATCCGGGCTGCACTTTTGTATTTGTTCGACTGCGATGGCGCGACCTTGTGGAATGTTCTTTCCAATAGTTGCGCCATACCACGAATGGTCTGGCCAATCAGCATTTGTCATCAGCTTCACGATCACGTGTCGATGCGCTTGCCGCACCCGGTAGTCGGTGATAGTAGTTACACGCGGGAGAGGCTATAAATGCTGGCGCAATGCGTATACGGAACCTTTTAGCGGAGTAATCAGTCATACAGATGGGAGGGCCTGTCTTGAACTGATGGATGGTCTCGCGGAGGTTGATTCGACAATGATGTACATGCTGATAGCAGTCTTGAATTCCAGAAAGTCCACAACGCCTCGCTATGCCATCATGAGCAGCTGAACCCAGCTGCTTTTCAAGAATTGAATGACCCTTCAAAGCTCAGCCCCCACCCCTGCCCAGTATCTCCTCCCTCTCCAACACCTCAGGCTTGAACTTGATCAGAAAGACCGTCTTTCCCGGCCACAGACCCTTGCCTTCCTCATCGCCTACACTATGCGCTGTCACGCCCTCAGTTGGGAACCCTGCACCGTCGCACACACCCTCAATTATGCCCGCAACAAAGGCTGCGCAATTCAAACTCGACAGTTCTTTAGGCAGACTTATGTATTGGTTGACCATGGGGTCGTTGTCGAAGAGCATGTACTGTCCTGGGTCGGTGCCAGACTTTTCTAATGCATCGGCCGGTCGACCGAAGAGGTAGCGGTATAGTTGTTGTGCGATGAACTGGAGGAGAGGCAGGATACGAGTGGGTCGAATGCTCGCGAGGGGGTTGGCGGTACGTGAGAGGAGGAGGTCGAGTAGGCGGAGGCCAATGGGGTAGCCTTGTGTATTCAGTCTAAACGGATGTCAGGACACGCACGGCAGCAAATCGATCGCAGTCTTTCGCAATGCACGTGAAGTTCCGCGGCTGCATGGATCTAGCATACCTCTGCTCCAAGTCCCCCACATCCTTCGCGCCCTTCTGCGCATACGCAATCATCTCAATGAAGAGGTAGGCAAACGCCGCCCTGCTAAGCTCCGCAGTCTTACTCCGGTTCAGATTCCTGTCGTATATGCTTTTTTTATTCGACGGATACCGCAGCCCAGGCCCTTGACTTGGGGTGCCGCTCATTGCGATGTGCTGCCCTTGTGGTTGCGATTGTGTGCCGGGTTGCGGACGGATCGTGGCTGCAGAGGAGGATGTCGATGGCTTTTGCGCAATGTCTACGGATCGAGAGAGGGACGACTGGCGCGAGGGGTAGTACGAGTGGTGCAAGGGCAGGATGTTGGACATGGTCGCTATTGAACCCTGGCGGTGTTGTTTGGCGGAGTGATGTGGGTCGGAGGGTCGTGCGTCGTGCGTCAGACCTGCCGCGGGTCGAGGATGCTAGGGATCATCTTCGGTGCTTAGTTAGCACACGACTTTCAGAATACAACAACTCTCCGGACTGTCGACCATAATTACTCGACAAACTTAGTAGTGCATTCTGTTTGCCTCACCGGACTGGGAAGCTCAGCGCGTGCAGATGAAAAGGAGGAGTGAAGTTGATCATAGAACAGCGAGTTAGGTCGTGATTCTATGATAGCGTGTCGTTCAATACTACGTATCAAGAAGGAAAGTAGACGTAGCAACCCGAAAGAAGCCACTATCTCCGACACCTACATCTCTCCGTTGTGTCGCGCTTCAGCATGACGACAAACCGCCTGAACAGCGCGCTTCGAACGCCAACCGTCGTGCTCAGCAGCAGTCTCCATGTACCCATCAGGCATCTCAATCATATCTTCATACAGCTTTTCGAGCTTCTTCTTCTCGTCATCCACGCCTTCCGAGCCGACTACTTTGCGTTCCTCACCGGTAGATGCCTTCTTCCAGTCCTTGTACCACTCTTTGAACCTTTCGGTGAGATTCATCTGGTGCCACTCAAGAACCCTCATCATCGGCTGCACATCGGTGCGGCGGATATCGAATTGAATCGGAATGATGGCAGTGGTGTAGTTCGGGTCCGCAGCAACATCGCGCATGTGAGGTGCACCAGACAGCTCGAGCTCAAGCTCCGCGCGCAGGTCACCGTTGAGCTTTCTCTGTTGCTGTAGTGCAGCCAAAGCATCACCGCGTTCCTTCTTCATCTTGCGTTCGGATACGAGGTGGCGTTGCTTATCACCTTGAGCGTCTTTCGCCTTCTCTTCCTCCTTCCACGCCGTGTCCTTAGCATTCTTGACCTTCTTGTTGGCACCCTTCAGCTTCCGCGTCTTTCCATCATTCTGATTGCCCAGATTGAAGTTTTCGTATTCGATGGTCTTGAGTGTGTCCTTGAGCTGCGTGTTTTCGGATTGCAGACGCGTGACCTCGCTTTCGAGGCGGTTGAGACGGCGTACGGTGTCAGTCGGAAGGTCAGATCCAGCAGCGGTTTTGGCAGTCCTTCGATCTAGATCGTCGATGGTTTTGCCTCGTTCCTCAGCCTGCCCTTTCCAGTGTTCGCATTGTTGACTCAAGGTTGCGATGGTACTTCTCAGACGGGCCTCTTCACCGTGTTTCGCTTCCTGTTCTTCATCGATTACGTTCTCGTGCCAGATACCACCGGCGGACTCTACAGTAGACGCTTTGGATACTGACAGACTAAGCGACAATGTCCCGGAACGCAAGTCATCAGTGTCGTGGAAGAGTGCGTCCAGATTGAAGCTCATCTATTGTGGGTTAGTATGAGCATACGCTAGCTGTTTTTCAACTTACCTTGGATTGTACTCAGGTGGCTACACTATCTCGACGCGAAGAAAGCGATGATTTGAGGTTGCAACGTAGTTGTTACGCCAAGAATTTAGACCCTGGCGAGGTGAAAACCAAACACGACGAAACGGGAAGGCGCGCTCGTCACCGCTTCACCGTAAGGCATCCTCTGGTCCGATCACTCAATTCTCAATTGCTCTATAACAGCTGCGAGATCTCGCACGCGGAAGGGCTTCGGAACTGCGTCGTCCATTCCAGTCTCTCGCGCGCGCTTCAGTTGCTCGGGTCTTGCATTTGCGGTAACAGCGATAATGTGTAGATGTTTATCGATTGACCCGTCCTCTTGCGCAGCGCGAATCATACTCGCACACTCAAGCCCATTAACAATGGGCATCTCAATGTCCATAAGAATGACGTCGATACGTGGCTCGTCGCCGCGTGGTTGCGATGAAGTCGAGCCCTTCCAGTGTTGCGTAGTTTTGATGAAGTCGAAAGCTTCTTGGCCGTTGTCGGCTGTGTAAACGATATAGCCCTGAAGTTGCAGCTGTTTCTTGAGCACCCGTTGGTTGACCATGTTGTCTTCAACAAGCAGGATGCTAGATTGGGTGGTCGGCGGCGCGTCCGCACCGGTACCCATCGCATGAGGCAGCGGCGAGGTTGGCCCTTCGGTAGTGACGGACTTTTCGGAGCTTCTAGTAGATAGAGACGGTCTCGGTGGTGAAGCCCTGGATGCTTTTGTATAGAAAGCAAATGTCGACCCGATATGTTGCTGAGACTGGAAGCCAATCTCACCACCCATTAAGCCCACCAATTTCTTGCTAATGGACAACCCCAGCCCAGAACCGCCGTATTTGCTGTATGTCTTGGGCATGTTCTGGGTGAACTGGCTGAAGACGCGCGCTTTAGTCGATTCATCCATTCCACATCCTGTGTCTTCGACTTTGAACCACAAGAATATCGACCCGTCCGACGGTTCGACCTCGACTGCCGGTTCATCGATCGATTCACTCTTTTGGACTGCTTTGATGAGACCGTCAAAGATCTCAGTGGGTGGCCAAGCTGCTACTCCGATACGAACAGTGACAGCTCTTTCGGCGGGTCTATCCTTAGTGAACTTGATTGCATTGGCGACCATGTTGAATAGCACTTGTGTCACTCTGCCCGGATCAGCATCGATCCAGTCAACGCCGAGCTCGCTCAATGAGGGATCAGCTACAGCTACAAGCTGAACTCCAGCCTGTTCAGCCTCAGCTCTGAAAGTGCTTTCGACTTGATTCAAGAAAGTCTTGACGTGAAAGACTGTCGGACAGATCTCTAACAAATTCGAATCCAGTTTGGAGAGCGAGAGAATGTCATCGATGATACGTTTCTGATGCATGGTGCATGCCATGATCGTATCGACAGCATCGCCAATACTGCTGTTAAGATTTCGCAAGTCGTCGGCGGTGCGGGCGCTGTCATGTTCGGGTGCGCTTCGCTTCTCGCACTGGTTGAGGAGAAGCCTTACTTCAGAGAGCGAGTGAGCTATGGAATCTGCACAGTGCATAACAGCACTAAGAGGGTTTCGAATCTGCGGTATGTTAGGACATGCAACGACCCGTCCGGAATCCAAAGCGTACTTCATGGCTCACCATGTCGACGAAGCTGCGCCCTGTTAGCAAATGGAAGCACACCCTGAGTAGGTTGTCATTTACTTCTCTTGTTGGCGTTTGGCCTCCACGGCTTCTTGCAGCCGCGATTCGCTGAGATGAAGCTGCTCCAGAGCTGCTGCACGAGCAAGCTCTTGTTGTTTGAGGGCTTCTTCTTTCGCGAAAATGTCATTTCCTATAGCAATGCTCTCTCTTCGGATTTTCTCAGTACGGCTCCTAGCTTCAACGTTTGCCATCGAGATCACCTCGTGGGAGAAGTCACGATGGAGTGTCTTGATCCAAGCTTGGTAGGAGCGGTCGTAAGGTGTACGAGGTGCCAAACCGACGATTAGAACCGCATCAATATTGGCAGTCCGATTCGAAACACTGGGCAATATGACAGCCTGGTGGCAGATGTCGCCATAGCATCGGCTCGTAGATGCTTCGCACATTTCCTGGGGAAGAGTACCGTTCTCAGCCTGGAGAAGTACCGGCGAACGAGAATTGACACTCCTGAAGAAGCTTTTCACCCATGCTTCATCCATACTTGGCTCGATTGTGGATAAGGGTGCGACCGGGAAGGAACCAACGGTGCCAGAGAGGGCAAAGGATAGCGAATTGGCCTGATTGTTGGAAGGACCAGTCTCGCTCACACTGTCTTGGTTCGTTTCGATGCGGTACAAAGCAGCGAACGATATGACCCCGTCTCCGTTAGATATACCCTTCAAGATTGAAGGCCACAGCGCATCCAGATCCGAAGCAGTCTCGCAAGCATTGCGGAACTCGTCTAAAGAACGCTCGCGGCGGACTTCCAACACGTCCCTCGTAACGTTGCAGGTTGTGGCATGAAAGCCGCCCAGGGACGGCGGTAGGCCCGTCGTGATGATGGATAAGAAGACTTCCTCAAGGCGACCATTTCGGGAGAAGAAGAACGGTATATGTTGGTCGCTATTAAATCCAGACTTTTCGCTTGCGTGCCTGCTCAGTGTATCGACTTCGGGCAGCTGTTGGATTAAAGCTGTGTTGAGACTTATCGGTCGCCCTTGGTACAGCGGATGGTGGTCATGCAGCAATCGACCATACGCTGTGTTGTAAAGGACGGTCGAATCCGAGCCAAGTAAGAAGAGCTGTGGTTGAGGAGAGAGCATTGCGATGTGGATGAGTAACAGTAATTCGCGAGGCCACGATGAAATGAGTCCGGCGGCGGTTCTGGCCCAGTCCAAGTCCCGAATGTATTGCAAGTCGGCGTCGATGGCTGCATCGCCCGTCGGATTCGTGAGGAAAGAGAGGTGAGGCTGCTCAAGCTCTACCGCCATAATGATGTCGGTAGCGCGACCAGACAAGAGAAAGATGTTATGGTACGGACCCGCGGGCTGCTGCGCCAGTATACATCTCAGCCACAATCCGTCGTTGGTGCCGGTCCCGGGGTCAACGGCTTCATGAGTGGCAAGCCAGACGTCTCGTGAGAATCTAGACCGCGCAGGCCATGCAGATTACTCTGTCCAGAGTCTGGACTATCGAACCCTTGGACCCCTACACTGTTCTCCGGGACATGCCGTTCAAGGGCAAGGCACGACGCACTGTCTAGTTGGGAGGGACCTGCGAATACGTTTCAAGTATGCAGGCAATGGCTTCGCGATGCCAGGCAGATGTCGCCTTAGAGCGCTGAGTCGCTGACGCTCAACGCAGCGAGCTGAGCCCATCTCGAGAGTCTTTCGCAGCCACGGGCCAAATTGATGCGAAGGGCATAGCAAGCGAAAAATAAAGACTAGCATAAATGAGGCATCACGGCAGGAATGCAGTGGGATTGGCATGCATAGCTCGCCTGTCAAGCCTCAAGCAGCGTCGTGGCCAGATCTCTGCTGGTGCTTCAGCCTAGCTGAAAGCGGTTAGTGCACCCGCCCCTTCTGCGATCTCGAGACCCGGGACTATCTTGCCGCCCGTTGTTTTTTGAGCCACAGCTGACCTTTCTTCTGTTTCGGCGGGAGCGATAGGTTAGTCTATTCAAGCATCGTTCAAAAGGAGTTTCAAAAGCCTCGTGCCTGGCTTCCGACTGGTTTTAAGGCAGTTGTGGCTCCGATGGCTGCCGGCTCTCCCTACACCTAGTCTAGCGCGATCGTCGATCTGTTCACACTACGGAGCCTTGGAGAGAGATTTCGTTCGTCCAACAGCGGAATAGACCTCAAGCTCGAGAGTCGAACCTCCGCTTCGCTCGACCATCTCAGCGAAGAAGATCTCGAATACGGAACCCAAAAGGTTCGCAGTGTGAGACGAAGCGCTCCCTAGAGGACGCCTGCGAAACTTCACTGCGAAACCCTTTCGGAAAACCTCAGGTGCGCAACCCAAAATCATTCATGGGTTTTAGCTATGGAGGGGTTGATGTATTACGGCCTCGCTGGACGCCGGTCGTCCTTTTGTAAATCGTTGGGCGCAGGAAGCACACAGGCAGCGACTCATGGACTCATGTTTGGCCTTTATGATGCAATGGTATCGTATTGTATGTCAGTACTCTCGGCTGAGTCTCACATACCGTAGCGATGTCTTCATGGCGATTGCTGGCATCGCGCAGATATTTTGCGAAGTCACCCATTTTACATATAAGGCTGGCTTGTGGAGAGAACATGTCCATGCTGGCCTCCTCTGGTATGCCGACGGATCGCTCATGCCCCTACGACGGGTTACCGCTGTCTCCAGTCCACCTTCTTGGTCGTGGGCTTCTCTGGATGGCCCCGTAAATATGATGTTCAGCCGCGAATCAAGGACGATGACCACCCAACCTGCAGCCACGGTGCTTGAACACCAACTCAAGCTCGAGCGAGCCGTTACTTCCTTTGCGCATACTGGGGATGGCGTTCTGATGCTGGAGGCCTATTGCCTCAACGTCGTCTGCCGCTCGTGTTCAGACGGAAGCGCGCCATATAGCGACCCTTATCTACGCATGGTGGTCGACATATTCGACGAGCGAGGTGTCTGTGTCGGTACAGGCTATCATGATCGCATCCCAGAAAGCTGCATTACCCAATGCCTGGCTCTGATCGTATCGCAGAGAGTGGACACAACCTTCAGCAGCACTCCCATTACTTACTTCCTGCTGGTTGTTGAGTCGCACCGCTTTGTGGAGACCTGCTACGAGCGAATAGGCATCGGGCAGACAGCCGATAAGACTTACGGACATGTACTGGACACATTGGACATCAAGCCTGAGCAGAGGAAAAAGACCATCCTCGTCTAAATTCATATTCCCAGCATGTCTTTATTCCCTCGTCCTTCCTGATGCTTGCAAAAGCTTTCATTCCACGCCTTCATTTGAGTCCACACCACGTATACTCTTTCTCTCACCAACAACCCACCGATCAAACAGCATACCTTCAATCTTTGGCCCAGGGTGAACATCGAAAATCTCATAAAACATCTCATACCCTCTTGGTCTCTCGTCTTTCTGCAGTCTCTCAAGCAGAGCAAAGTCCCTCAGGTGAACTGTCATCCTGTAGTCATTCACGCGTAGACGGTACCTCAGTACCACCTCTCTAAGATCTGCGAAACCCCCAAGCGACGCGTAAAGGCCCTCACAGCGATCGGAACTGCCAACGCCGCTGAACCAAGACGAAGACCATGTATCGTCGATAACGATATTTCGGATCCGAGCGAGGCGTTGCGGAAGGACTGTCGATGTGAAAATAGACAGCATCTTGTTATTGTCGAATCTGAACGTGTTATTGGAGTAGAGCACCGGAACGGCCTCGCGGTACCTGTACCTTTTGTAAGTCTTCTGCTCAAAACGACTGCCCGCAAGGCGAGGAGGAAACAGACATTTCCTTGCAAGTTCTCAGCATCTCCACGTTGCAGCCTGACACCGCCTTTATCCTCCAAAGATCCCAAAGTTCCTCGCGATTAAACCTCAACCCCACTTCCTCCTGCTTAGAGAGCACAATCGCATAGATCTGCAGTCTCAACTCCGCAGGCAGCTTAGTAAAGAACAAACTTTGCGATTGATATTCCGCATTCTTTCTCAATACCCCCCGGGTCCTATCAACCGAAACACTGCGCTTTCTCTTCTCCAAAGCACGCACGCGTCTTCGATGTTCGATTTTAGTCAAGGCGTCATATCGCCTTTGCTGTGCTGTAGATGGACGGCCGGGGAGGCGTTTAACACAGGTAAGGGGTTCGATGGATCTGAGCCAATAACACAGACCACAGAGAGGGCAAGTGACGAGTTTGCAGCAAAGGCGCAGGATGGAGTTGGTATGCCATGTGTATATTATGGTATCTTTGATGGATTCAAGAATTGGCATCATGTTGTCTGAATGGTGTATACGTTGAGATGGATGGACATTTGCTGATCACATATGTTTTGGGTGGCCTTGTTTCATCCTGCGAAGGAGGCACAGTTGGTGGGGCCTGTCCACTGTTGCGGCTTCGTCAGGCAACCATATCCAGGCCGGGTAGCATATATTGGCGCAGTCTTGGCCTACCTGTTAGTCAGGCCATTTGGCTGGTACGTCTATCTTTGCAAGCGTCGCAAGGCTACTGTATGGTGTTGAAACATACCCTGAATGCGGGTCGCAGACTTGCTTATCATCAACCTATTACTATGAAAACCCAACTCCCCTTCCGATATGTTCTGGAGAAACGCGCATCTTAATACCATCACCATAATCTAGTGTATTGGTAAGGATGTATCTCCCATGTCGTCCAAGATACTCTATCCTTCTTCCTCTCATACTCCCATTCCCGCAGCCTCTCTGCTTCTATCGGAGACGCACGTATCCTATACCAAACTTCAGCGCCATCCGTATTGCATCTTTGCTCGATCTCATCCAATAATTCAATATCGTCCCGGCGCTCATAGGGATAGACATGCCACGTTCTTGCCACAAATTCCAGGTCAAGGGACTCAAGTCTGGGCAAAGATGCGATTGCTGTGAAGAAGTCGTCGTATTCGAAATAACGGCTGTATCGCTCCTCTTCAGTGATCTCGGAAATCCATCTCGAACCAATATTCTCGATGGCAATGCGCTTGATACTAGCTAAGCGTGGTGGTGGGATCGAGCGAGTGAAGAGGATGAAACGTCTGTAGCTTGCGAATGTGAAGTCGATCTCTGAGTATAGCATACCGATGGCTTCGTGGTAGCTGGTGGAACGGTTAGGTAGTGCATTACAAGTTTCCGGTGTGTGGGCTTACATCCTTCGGCAGGTACGTAGGATGCCTGTTGAGCGTCCAGGGTCGGCGCTGAACTTGAACATGTCATCCTCCGCCTTGTCGTATGCATCCACAGTAATATTATCAATGTCGCGAAATACCATGCTGTAGATCTCCAATCGCAATTCTGCAGGTAGCTTTCCAAAGAAGTCGCTCTGGCTTTGCTCCATGGTCTTCCTCTTTCTTGAAAACGGATTCTTCGTCCACTTTCCATCTACAGAGATGCTCCGCTTTCTGTTCACCAAGGCCCGCTCTCGCCGCGCCTGCTTCACTTCACTCATAACGAGGACGCGTTTTTGTTTTCTCCTTTTTCGCCGGTGACCAGTACAGTCGCTGAAGCTAGCTGAGTGGAGGCAGAAACAGCAGCCCAGACATGGGCATGTTAGGAGCTTTGTCCAGCGGCGAAAGCGGGCGCTGTCGTTCCAAGCGTAGAGAACGGATTCGCGAACATAAGTGAATGGCTGCATCTTCAACTCGACGCGCGACTACGCATATGGATCAGAGAGCGGCTCGGTGGGAGCAAAGATGCAGTGTTCCAAGAGGCAAAGATGCCTCGCGACGATGTTGTTGCCTGTCGCGGCGTGGGCGGCACAGCCGCTTTATGCCCAGCCTCGTCATTATTCCCCATCGTGTCATTCGTTCTGTCCTTGAATGTTTTTTGGTGAACAAGAAGTCGTACATCGGCGTAGCATTGGATGCGCAAAAGTCGTCATGATCAAGTGAGGTCTTCCGGCTACGTTGCCAGACCACCTACACGCAGGATGCAGCTTACACGGTGATACTGTTAAGCCTGAAACATCGCGATTGTCGCACAAGGAAGCTCATCCATGAGTCAGTATTGACTGCTGGAATCTGATAAGTGCATTTTGTTGCGCACTCTATTCTTTCGGAAGGAGCGCAAGAGCCAAGTCGGATCAACAAAGCAAGAGCCCGGCATCCGGGTTACCAAAGTTAGTCATTCCACAATTTCCCCGCCCCCGCAAACCTAGCCTCGCACCAGCTCCACCGAACCCATTCGCATGGCACCACTGGCAGCCGGGTATACGGGACTCACGGAGACATCTCCTGATATCGTGACTATGCCAGCCCCGCTCCCGATGATACCCCAGCGTGCAAGCGGACGCGGCCCTCTTGTGCGAGCCGCGTCGCCTCACGATGCCCGCAATCCGGGCTTGGCCATTCGTCCAGAACCCTTAACATACATAGATATGTAGGGCGGCACGGCGGCAACAGTGGGTACCCTCTTCTAGATCACATGTACACCTGGGGGCTGTGCGCATACGTTCCGAGAAGCGGAACCGAGGTCGCTCCTTTTTAGAGTTGCCAAAGCGGAGGTGCAGATCGTGTCATGTCATCCGCTATTGAAAGCGCGTTTGTAAATACGGTCGTTGATCGAGAGGAATCTGAGTTATGGGACTACCGAACTGGGGCGATCAAGACCGGGCTTCTACATTCACCATGCGCGCAGCAAGATATTACGGCAAAGAGGACATCAGGATTGAGGATGTGGATGAGCAGAAGTGCGGGGCGGGACAAGTCAGGGTATGTGTTTGGTTCTTTAGAAGCGGCTTGCGCGATGACTGACAGTGTGTAGGTCGCACCGGCCTTCGTAGGCATCTGTGGGACAGACCTTCATGAATACCTCGGGGGACCTAACTTCGCGCCGACGACACCGCACCCGTGCACGAACGAAACGATCCCTATCACGTTGGGGCATGAGTTCTCTGGAACTGTGACTGAAGTGGGTTCGGATAACTCGAGCTTTACGGTGGGCCAGAATGTCGTTGTTCAGCCGACGATATATTGTGGGAATTGCGAGGCGTGCAAGGCGGGCTCAGAAAACGTATGCGAAAACGGTGGCTTCATCGGGCTCTCGGGAGGAGGTGGCGGACTGAGCGATTCAGTCGTTGTGCCTGAAGGCGCAGTATTGAACTTGCCCACCAACGTACCTCTCGACGTCGGCGCGCTGGTGGAGCCACTGGCTGTTGCGTGGCATGCTATCTCAGCTGCTCCACTGACAGCCGAATCCGTCGTCATGGTCCTAGGTGGTGGACCGATCGGGCTGGCAATCGTCCAATGTCTCAAGGCACTGGGCACCAAGAAGATCATCGTGAGCGAGGTATCCGGCGCGCGGCAGCGCTTCGCGAGAGAATTTGGCGCGCACCATGTCCTCTGCCCCAAAACATATGATGTTGCGAAGATGAGCAAGGCTCTGAGTGGAAAGGATGGATCGGACGTGGTTTTCGACTGCGCTGGCGTTCCCGCAAGTCTCACAACGGCTTGCACGGCGGTGCGCGCTCGGGGGACAGTCGTCAATGTCGCGATTTGGGAGAAGGAAGTTCCGTTCAACCCGAACATGCTCGTGTTCCGGGAGGCGCAGTACACAGCCGTTCTGGGCTACCAAAGAAAGGACCTCGAGGCCGTCATCGAACATCTAGCTGCTGGTAAGTTGTGCGGTGAGCGAGAACTACTACCTTCGGATGCTGACTTGTCTTTAGGTACTCTAAAACCCATGAAGATGATTACCAGCAAGATTAGTCTGGAGGATCTGGTAGAAGGCGGGATCAAAGCCCTGATCAACGACAAGGAGAACCATGTCAAGATCCTGGTTGAAGTTGGAGGTATGAGTCGCGTGGATTCTGCCATACACTGAAGTTGTCGTGTTCATATAGATCGAAGATATCCAGTAATGCTATGAGTGTATTATGGTTGTAAAGCTTGAGTGGTGTTTTGCAATTGGCGTATCGAAGCGTGATCATTTGGGTTCGCAGCTCCACCTCGGCCCTGGGCGGTTTGCAGGGTCCAGCATGCCGTCACTTCCGCAAAAGTAATCTACGCGTCTGGTGAAGACCAAACACCCCACTACCTCTATCATGACTTTGATAGCCGCATTAGTTCATGCCTTCATAACCGCCCACATATTTCGATCACCATACTAACGACAATGTCTTCGCTAACCCTAGACTCAATGGCTTGTTGCCAAGCGCCGTATACGGTACGGCTGATGCCCATCTGCGGTAACGAGCTTTGTGCGCTGCAGTGTGGTGCCTCTGTAACGACAAGAGAGCGTCTTATGCTCGCTCTAGAGTTCACTGATATCACGATATAGGCCATGTCGCAGTACAACTCGATGCCGTCCCCAGGGGTCTACGTTCCCCCATCCCAAGGCTCTCCAGCGCAAGGCGCCCAGCGGCCCTCGAGCTATCAGCCCAATGCCACGAACTATGGAGCACAATATCAGGCTCAGAAGGGAGGAGGCACGTTTGGCCAGATGATGAATCAGCGGCTTGAGCAGGCGGTGACAACAGGAAAGCCAATGTTGAACAAGCTGGGCAAGACTATAAGCTCAAAGCTAGGGAACAAGCCTTCGGGAGGCCCACCGCAGCATCTGCAGAGCTATCAGAGTTACCAGACTCACTTTGGGCAGCAGGGTCAGAATCAACCATACCAGCAACCTCAGGGTCAGGCTTTCAGTCCTCAGCCGCAACAGCAGCAATGGGCACCACCGCAGCAACAACCCCCACCTCAAGCGCCGAATGCCTACCCACCTTCACAGCCGTCTCCATATCAGCACTCGACCAACTCCACACCGGCTTCCGGCCACTCGGGGCAGAGCAACTACTTCCCATCGCAGCCGACGCAAGCGCCCACAACACAATCTCATACGCCGCAGTCGCCGCTCACTACCACGGGACATAATTCCTGGCAAAACAGTCAAGGCGGCGGGATAGCGGAGCATACACAGACACACGGATACAATGGGCAGAACCAGGCGCAGCCGGGTCAGCCTCAGGCGCCTGTCCCACAACCGACACATGAATCTGGCCAATATACTGGACAGCAGACGGGAGTAGTAGGAGGCTACAATGCTGTGCAGCATACACCATCACCCCACACTTCGACTATGTCTCCAGGGATACCCGCCCAGCCCATGCAGCCACAATGGGAACAGGCTACCGGGCAGCAGTCGGGTTCCCCAACATATTCCACACAGCAGAACATCACTGCGGCAAGTCCGCCACCTCATCCACAGCAACAGTGGAATAGCCCGTCTCCAGGTGGTGCATACGGCCAAGGACAGTCGCAGATGCCTGCCCACTCCGTCAGCCCTCCGCCACCTCAAGTGCCGTCAAACAAGCCTGCACAGTCAAGTCAGTCGTCAACGCCTGCACCGCATCAGACACAATATGCTGCGCCACACGAGTTCATTGCAGAGCTTCCTGCAGATCTTGGAAACTTGACTATTGCAGAATCCAAGCCGAAGGAACGTGAACCATCGGTCTCAGGCTCGCAATATCAAGCCTTCCACCCTTCGCTATCTCCGACTGGATCGCCATCGCCTGGCTTTACCATTCCTCGGCGGTCGTTTAGTGTCAGCACGATTCCACTGGCTGATCCGTGGAGGTTTGCAGATGCGATCACTGAAGTTCCAACACGCGAGTTCTACATTCTGGCCGATTTGCTTTTTGACGCTCTGGACCGGAAGTTTGAGCCAAAGAACACGGGCCTTCTGGAAGCACCAAAGATCATCGGAAGCTGGGTGAAATTGACCGAAGACGCGTGTCGTGAGTGTCTGAATTGCCGACAGATGATGCAAGACTAATGTGAAGTCAGGTCTTTTTTGCTACAGGTCCTATAGCGCTTTTGCAAAGCTGTGGAGTCTCGAGGGTATCCCCCACATCATGGTGCCCTGCCAATCCAACCTGACACCAAACTGGAACTTTAATCAACATTCACATGCGCAAGATGCAAAAGTAATCGCTGATGTGCCAACGCCGATGACAACATACACAACGTACATGCCGGCTCTGAACCGGGCGGGATGGTACAAATTCTTCTTTCTTGAGATGATGCACGCGCCAGAAGATATCGGTGATTTGATGGCACTGTGCGCAGACACGTATAAGCCGAGAGTGCTGAACCACCCCGACCTCAACAAGCGGGACAAAACAGAAATGCCAGCACTGCAGGCCAGAGCTGCAGCGATTCAGACATTTGCGATCGGGCGCGCATGTGCAGAGACGAAGGTTGCGATGGCAGTCGACCCCGATGTTCTTCCGGCGCACACGCACTCTACCGCACCTACCTCGGGACCCACGCAGACTGGGGCAGGTATGACGCCACAGGACATGACGGTGAGCATGCACAAGATCCAGGCAGAGCGGCAGTTGAATGGCATGGCAGCCTGGAAATGGTAGGTTTGCAGGCGGGAGGTTATGTGGAAGACAGTTTCGTGTAGAATGGGCAAACACAATGCGATGACGGCAATGCCGTGTAACCGTAAACGCTGCGCTGGCCATGGTGCGACGGAATTGAATGCCGATGGCGATGTTTGCCCAGATCTTGTCCTCGAGTGCCCAGAGGGCTAGCAAATTAGTGGGCAGGCGTTGACAGGCGCAAGTTCCAACGTCGGCGCGGGTACCTGCCTTGGTGCCGGTGGCGGTGTGGGTGTAGAAGGCGCTGTCGCACGCATACGATGCGCTTTCCTGTGTCTCTACCATGCCCTACGTGGACGGCCGTGGCTCTCGTATTGTTCCCCAGGAGTTCTACGGGCGTCATCCCTATAGGGTGCATGCAGCATGGTCGGCCATGTTTCATCTCGGCAAGCGGTTATGATCTCAACGATAAACATGCAATCTACGCATTGACGTCCACGCGTTGGGCCTTGCCCGATTGAGCGTCGATCTGCAGGTACACCTTGCTTGTTGCGCCTTGGGCCTTGCTTTGTGTGGAAGTCGCGCGAGGGTTGCACCAACAAATAATTCTGGCCGGCCTCGCGTCCAGCCTCTTATCTTGCACCCTCCCATCGCCGCTTTTCTGCTATTCTTCACGACTTTGACGCTGCAAGCCCATATCACGAGTATCTTCTATCCCGCACTCTTCTTACTATCACGAGTAATACGATACGACATACCCTCCCATACTTGTGGGTCTTAGCTTGTCAGGGATCCTCGACCTTCACCATGCGCACTTCCACCATCTTCGCTCCGCTTTTCCTCGCGGCCACTGGCCTCGCCCAGGCCGTCGAGGAGGGCATTGCTCCCGATGCCTCTGCGCCCGAGGGCTGCAAGACGACTGTCACGACGCCCTTCCGAATTGGCACACTCGAGAACCCCAGTCTCAGGAGGCGCGAAACTGCTCAAGAGGTATGCCGCTCCCCTGGACTCTTACTCGTAACTTCATACTAACACCATCACCAGGCATCTGACGGCGACCTTCTCTGCACTCTCGAAGACGGTATCCTCCACGACCAATACGGCCGCACCGGCTCCATCGTCGCCAACCAACAGTTCCAGTTCGATGGCCCTCCTCAGGCAGGCGCAATCTACACAGGCGGCTTCTCGGTCTGCGGCAACGACTCGCTCGCCATAGGAGGCAGCACCCGCTGGTGGCGCTGCATGAGCGGTGCTTTCGGCAACCTGTACGACTCGTGGATTGGCGACCAGTGCCACGAGATCCGCATCCAGGCCCTCTTCGACGAGACTGCCTCGAGCATGAGCAGCGACATGAGCATGTCGATGAGCAGCACCACCTCGAGTGCCCTGTCCGGATCTACTAGCATCATCTCCGCCAGCGAGACCAGTGGCCTCACCAGCGAGAGCAGGAGCATGCACTCCATGTCAACCGGCTCTGCTTTCTCCTCTGCCACACCCTTCTCCAACAGCGCGACTGCCACTGGCTCTGAGGGTGCCGAGGCCAGCGAGACCGGTGACGCCGCCGCTCCCCCCGCCGACGGTGCCGCTTCGTCCATCTCGATGGCTCCTTTCGCCATGGTCGGCGCGTCCATGGTCTTCCTCGGCGCTGCTCTCATTCTCTGAGCATGGCATTACACCACCGCGTTACTTCGAGAAACTTCTTCTTATTCCCGCGCATGGCATGTCAGGCTTCACATTACCCCTGCATGTCCACCGCCTCGCCTCGCATTGCATTACTTCCACCGCATGACTTCCCTGCATTAGCGAGCATGTCGCCGGCGCTTGTTGTTACTCTTCATGTTGATAGCTTGCGAGCGCAATGATTCGATGAGCTGGCTTCGGCGCATTTTTTGTTTATTATGGTTTGATGCAGCGCATGGTGTTTTGAGATATACACATTACGCATTCGGCATACCGAGCTTGGGATAGATTCCAGGCCTTAATCATAATACTTTGGAACATTCTCAGACTTTAGATTGCTAGTTGATTGTGATGTTGTGTGATGCGCTAGATTCTTAAACAGATATGTGGTGTAACAGGAGTGTTGTCACATACACGTCTCTCTGGTAATACACTGGCCGTACTTAGACATAATCAGGAGGTATACGTGGCATAGAATCCGACACATTTAATAATATAGGTAACAACGTATGCCTCGATAAAGAGTACCGGATATGGATTGAGAGAACCCCATTTTTTTGTAGGCATCCGAGCCAACACGGATACTGTTCTTTGATCGTAGTACCATCGCATTATTGTGTCTCTACGAAGGATGTATGGGCAATCGCCACAGCTGCGAGCCTCGAAACACTATCCAAACAATCGACAAAATATTAGAAGTATATCTAGTCCACCAAAGATCATCCTCACATCGAAAGAAGATACACAACCCATCATTCTAGCCCGCCCGCAGACCCATTCCGTCCCATTCCACATCTCAATCCTGCCATTACATCCCAACCCATCTACCACCATCTCAAAAATCACTGCCCAGCTCATCAAAGCTATCATCCGGCACAGCCATGGCCACATTACTACTCTCCAGCAGTCCCCTCACCCTCTCCACCACCTCCCTCTGCCCCCGCCACTTTTCCACCATCCCCTCAATCTTACTCCTCAGCTCATCACTCCACGCCACAGGATTCCTCGGTATATTCTTCGCATTGCGAATCACAGCCGGCAGCAGAATATTCGTCTGGAAACCAGGCATGTTCATGTAGGATTTGAATTCAGAGTATGTTTCGTCTAGGTCGCGGAGGGCGGACTCCATGGTTTGGTAGGAGGAGTGCAAGGTGTGGAGGTAGGTGAGTTGGGAGGAGGTGAGGGAGGCGGCGCGGCGGAGGAGGAGGAGTGTGGTTATGGCGTCGTTTTCGGTGGGCGTGAGGCTTAGGGGCGTGTGTTTGGGGGATGGGGCGCTGGCCCAGAGGGGTGGGAGGAGGCGCATGTGCCAGAGGATGCGGAGGTCGTCTTTGCTGTCTGTGAGGGAGCGCATGAGGTGGGTGCGGCGGACGGAGCGGAGGCAGTCTTCGTGGTGGGAGAAGGTGTAGGGGGAGTCGATTTTCTGGGTCGTGGTTGTCAGTATGTTCATACGAGCTGTTTTGGGGGCAGACATACTTGTTCTAGTAGTAACCGGTATTGTCGTTCTGTCTTGAGGAAGCGGACGAGCATGTCTTTCCACGCAACCCGTATCGATCCCGTGCGCAGGGTGACATCGACGTCGAAGTGCATTCGCCGCCATTCGCACGGGAGATCCAAATCTAGGACCGCGTGGTCGAGCCGGATGCACCAGCGCAAGGTCCCGAAATATTCTTCCCTGCGGCGCAACTGCAGTCGGTCCAAGACACTATACCAGTCTGAGTCCGCGTCGTCAAGCGTATGGCCATCATTCGCTTCCGCACCGCCCACTCGCCTGAACGCGTCATACCACTCATCTGCAATCTCGAAGACGGCGTGCGTCGCGCTCCACACAGGTCGATTCGTCTCCGGGTCTGACGCAGTGTCCCACTCGACGTGCGAAAACCCTGCTTCGAGTAAATGGATGGACTCATACTGTTCGTCGTCCAAGTCCACCATGAGTCCAAAATCTCTCGCACCCATATACCCCACCAGCTCCGTCCTCTGCAGACAGCGGTATAAGACCCGTCCATCGATCGCATCGCGAAAGCCACGGCAGACTAACCGCCAGTCGAGGATATAGTCCACAGGGACATGTTCGAGAATCTGTAGGAGCAGTTCTGCGGGGAGGTGCGCTAGCGTCCTGTTCGTAGAGGAGGGCGATCGGTCTTGGCTCGAGTCTATGGCGGTGATGAGCGCAGCGACATCGTCGGTGGAGAAGCCGAGCTGGACATGCCGCGCGAGGTAGGAAGGTAGGGGTGCGTTATCGAGGTTGGCGTTGCTGGAGGAGGGGGCGTGGATGGGGAGGCCAGCGGGCGCTCTAGCGCGCCCCGGTGACTGCGACATTAAAGTTGATCCCAGGTGTGGAGATGCGGGGATGCGCGATGGTTAGGGGATGGTGTGTGTTTTAGTGTCGGTCCGAATCGGAAAGCACGTGGTGTGGCACAGCCACGTCAATCAATAAAAAAACTGAACGGGTCTGCAGCCTACATCAACATGAAAACCTACAAGATTAGTAACCTGGCGTCGTTGTAGGCTCTAGGCCTGTTCAGTTTTTTTCTGGTATGGGGTGCAGCGCCAGCTGCGTTCCAAGGGATTATGGGATGTGTGCGACCACGCGATTCCCCGTGATATTATCAGCAATGGCATCGTGCCTGAGGACATGCTATTAATGGTGAGTTGATTAGGGTTTGCTATCGTCGACTCGGATCTTACCGCTTCTCCCACGCTGGCCAGCTGGGCATGCTTGCCTGATCACCGCAACACTCTCCTACCCCGTTGGGGAAATAGTAAACTTCAGAAATCGGAAGCCCACATCAGCGTTAGATCCTCTAGTTCGCCTGTTTTCGTTTACATGTAGGCTGCCGATCTGTTCAGTTTCTTCCTGTGAGGTACCCCGACAGTCCTCAACCCACGACCCGCCCAGGAACGCGCACACGCGCGACACGAGTTAACAATCTCGCGTATGTTCGGCAACTCGAAAGCCATCCTTTAGACTCCAGAGCGGAGTGAGTGGGTCAGACCTTAGCTACTGATGGTTTAGTCCCAGCGGCTCGCCCAAGTGGGGTACATGTCTATCCTAGCTGTCAACGCGTGGTCCGCAGCATCTTACGGATATGAACAGCCGTTGGACTTCCTACACAGAATCCAGGTGCATGAGGGAAAGCTGTCCCGGTGGTGTAGTCATACATCTCAGCATGGCTTCCAGTCGATTTCTGGCTCGCTCAGCGCCTTCTACCCGCCATCCTCACCATACCGATCAACTCCTTGATACGTCCTCCAAATGGCTCCCGCAGTCCGCCGACCAGTCCGCGTGGGCGGTGCCTCAGGCGGCTTCTCCGACCGTGTTCGAGCCATCGCATCCCTCGCCAAAGACGACGTCGATGTCA